TTTAATACCAAAGCTATGTTTATGCAGTCCAAAGCCTCAAATCCAATGAAAAGTGTACTGTATTACAATATCCTACAGAAGAACAGAGGAAAGAAGCATGAACATTGAACCCAAATTATAAGTCACAAATATGTTATCCAACTACAAAGAATACAACTGAACCAAAATATAGTTTTTCATAAACCTTATATTATTTTTTTCTTGAAATGGTTAAAACCAACGATTTCCAAAATATAAATCTAAGCATGAGACTGCATTTACTGCGATATCCAACTACTTTAGCATACTGGCACATAGGCTTTATTTACTTTGAAATATACTATAATAGTGAATGACACGGTCTTTCTGATATCCATTCTCCCTGGAAAATAAAATACAATCAATCAATCAATGTTTATTTACAGTATATAGCCCAATATCACAAATGTTACATTTGTCTCAGTGGACTTCACAGTGTGTACAGAATATCAGTATGACAATACGAGGCCCTCTGTCCTTAGACCCTCACATCGTACAAGGAAAAACTTCCGGAGAAAACCCACAGTTTAAAGGGAAAAATGGGAGAAACCTCAGGGAGAGCAACAGAGGAGGGATCCCTCTCCCAGGACGGACAGACGTGCAATAGATGCCGTGTGTAAATTGAAAAGATAATACATTTGCAACATAGGTAGTCCAAATGTTTGGAAATGCATGTGTGTATTATAGGAAGATGAATCTACGAGGATATCCATCCAGGACTTATGATCCAGGACCACAGCCACGACTCAAGATCCAGGACACAGGACCGCAGCAACACGATCATCCGTGACTCCGGATCCCAGCGTATATAGACACCAAAAAGAAAGAAATTTGGGGAAGCTGGGTTAAACGGAACATGAGAGTTCACAGGTATAGACAGAGAGAAGGAAGAATTAAGATGTCCCCCGACAAACTAAGCCTATATCAGCAAAACTAGGGGCTGAATCTAATCAGCCCTAACTATAAGCTTTATCAAAAAGGAAGGTCTTAAGCGCACTCTTAAAAACGGATAGGGTGTCTGCCGCCCGAACACAAACTGGAAGCTGATGCCACAAATGTGGAGCTTGATAAGAAAAGGCTCTGGCTCCCATTGTACTTTTAGAGACTCTAGGAACAACCAACAACCCTGCATTCTTGGAACGCAATGCCCTAGTAGGACAGTAGGGTATAATGAGTTATTTAAGGTAAGATGGCGCCTGCCCATTAAGAGCTTTGTAGGCGAGAAGAAGAATTTTAAATTCTATCCTGTGTTATATAGGGAGCCAGTGTAAGGCAGCCAGAACAGGAGTAATGTGGTCCCTTTTCCTAACTCTGGTTAGTACACGAGCTGCAGCATTTTGAATCAGCTGAAGCGACTTGACTGACTTCTTGGTACACCCTGATAATAAAGAGTTACAATAATCCAGCCTTGAAGTAACAAATGCATGGACTAGTTTCTCTGCATCGTTTTGAGGCAAGATATGCCTGATTTTTGCAATGTTACGTAGATGGAAGTAGACGGTCCTTGAAATTGATTTTATGTGGGCGTTAAAGGATAAATCCTGATCAAATATAACACCAAGATTCCTTACAGTCTCACTGGAGGCCAAATTAATGCCATCCATAGTTAGTATATCTTTAGATAATTTGTTTCGTAGATTCTTCGGGCCAAGTACAATAACTTCAGTTTTGGTCGTGTTTAACATCAAAAGGTTTAAGGTCATCCACGTTTTTAAGTCCTTGAGGCAGTTTTGAATTTTATTTAGATGATTAATTTCATCAGGCTTGATTGATAAATATAGTTGATTATCATCCGCATAACAATGAAAATGTACAGAATGATTCCTTATAATATCGCCTAACGGAAGCATATATAATGTGAACAAAATAGGTCCGAGCACTGAGCCCTGTGGCACTCCATGGCTAACTTTGGTTTGCGTGGAAGATTCATCGTTGACACGTACAAACTGAGAGCGTTCAGATAGATAGGACCTAAACCAGCCTAAAGCATTTCCCTGTATGCCAACTAAGTGCTCTAGTCTTTGCAATAAGATATCATGGTCGATAGTATCAAATGCAGCACTGAGATCGAGCAAAACAAGAATAGAGACAAGTCCTTTGTCAGAAGCTATTAGAATGTCATTTGTGACTTTAACCAGAGCTGTCTCTGTGCTATGATGTGTTCTAAAGCCAGACTGAAAATCTTACAATAAATCATTGTTTTTTAAGTAATCACACAACAGTTTTGCGACTGCTTTCTCAAGAATTTTTGAGAGGAACGGAAGATTAGAAATAGGTCTATAGTTGGCTAAAACCTCTGGATCGAGGTTGTGCTTTTTAAGAAGCGGTTTTATCACTGCTACTTTGAATGATTGTGGAACATAGCCTGATAATAAAGACATATTCATAATGTTTAATAAAGAAGTGCTAATTAATGGAAAAACTTCCTTCAACAGCTTAGTTGGAATTGGGTCTAACATACACGTTGATGGTTTAGAAGAGAGAATCATTGAATTTAATTGTTCAAGGTTTATGGCTGAAAAGCATTCTAGTTTACTATCTAGTGTAATATTAGAACTTACGTTTCCGGGAGCTGTTGATAACACTATACTGGTCAAAGGCAAGAGGTCATTCATTTTGTTTCTAAGAGTAACAATTTTATCGTTAAAAAAGCACATAAAATCATTACTACTGAGTGCTATGGGAATAGAAGGCTAAATCCTCTTATTTGTACAAAAAGTGTACTTAAGTTTTAGCTGACAAAAAAAGATCAGAATTTGACCTGACCGATGGAAGAATCTAGTAAGTGAAATTAATGGAATGGAAATAATAACCCTAAGAACAAAAAACCAAGTTCATATCTTTATGAAAGATGGGGAAAATGGGTTAGTTATAGAATACCTGACATTAATGATGGAAGGAAGGACAATTAATGTATGTGTGAGTATTAATGTTGTATCTAATGTTGAATGTGTTAGCTGTATCTTTTTTCTCTTTTTCCTTTTCTTCTTTTTTATTTCTTCTCTTTTTCTCAATTGTAGATTCTTATGTAGTTATTTCTTGTATTAAAGTGTGCCCTGTAACTAAACAATTTCTTAAAAGGCAAATTAAATTAAAAAACAAACAAAGACAATAATTATTTTAGAACTGTAGAACAACTGTTAGAGGGTTCGGTACTTGAACAGCGATTCTTTACTCTTGAAAATGATTGCAAGGTCAACGATCATTTCTCTCATCATTTTCAATATTGTGATAACGATTAAGCACAGATAAATGTTTGCAAATATGTATTCAGCAAAGTCAACCTCCAGCAGAATTGTCATTCATTTGGTTAATTATCGTGACCTACACTCCTGGGAATCCTGTAATTTACATGAGAGCCGACTGGCTGTGGCAGATCACCTCGGATTCGTGAGGAAATCAATAACACAGCCTGACCATGTTTGCTGCTGTGTGGGCCTTAATGGTTTGACTAATGGCTCTGGTTATTGAAGACTGGAATGGGCTCATGTTGTCACTCTGTTGCAATTTACCAGTTTTAAAATCTCTGTATTCAATAATGTTCTTACTGTTATGATGTCTTAGTTTAAAGGAGACCTATCATGCTATATTTGAATAATATATTGTTGGGCCATACCTATATAAGATATATTTATACGTTTTGTTTTTCAAAATACTAAACAGATTGTGCATTTTAGCCATGCATCATTTCGCTCTATTTTCCTCTCCTCCACCCTGTCTTTGCATGAGCTGCAGCTGACCACGCCACCCTGCAAAGGAGGGGGCCGAGTTACGACCGTCATGTTACCATGCTGTCACCATGCCATGGCAACCTCTCATTCCCCTGATTGGTGGAGAGTTGGCCATATAGGCGGAGCTCCTCGTCACTGACGACACACTATTTCCATATCTGTATCAATCTGTATCAGATCCGTTAAAGCCCCGTTTTTAGAGATTTGGGTATGGAGGAAAAGAGAGACGGTTGTGTTTTCTGACACTTGGTGAGTTCCCTGACACACCGGGGACACATATTCATGTATAAAAGACGTACAAAAGTGCATTTTGCATGATAGGTCCCCTTTAATTAATAACAGCAGCAAACTGTGATGCCAATCAAGTTCTGAGTCGAGCTCATGAACACTCCCAAACGACTTGTGGTCATTACAAATAGTTCATTAGTTGTCTCATCATGTGCATTTCACTACAGATTCAATATTTACTTTACTGTTTTATGGTACTTAATTTGATGCAACTACATTAGGAAGACATGATTTGTGTTGTTGTGCAAGTTTTATAGTGCCGGGTGCCATCTTGACTCCCTTGATGTGACTTCAGCTATTGAAGATGACGGCTCTGAGCTAAAACATGTTGTTCTGTCTTGATAATGAAACGTATCTTCAGCTCTGTCTGGCTAATGCAGCCATCTGCTGGAAACTCCTAATGGAGTTATAGAGCCTCTCTAGATCTATTTAAATAATTCAGCAGGGGAGAATATTCTCATCATATTTATGCACAAGGCTTAATTCTAAATGTGGGATTTGATTTGTCAATACAGATTTGCTTTTCCAAACTTTTTGTTACAGGACATGCTCAAGTTTAGTCTAACTGTCTGTTATCTTGGATTACTGTGGCTAATTCCTCATTATGATGGACTGGGCAGTTCTCTCATTTTTGTTTATTTTCTGCTTTGAATAAATGTTTTGAGAAGCTGAGAGGATTCTGCAAAGACCTCGCCATGTGTGAACAACTCTTTGATGCTATGACCAGTAATTGTAGAGCAAGAACAACCTTGTTATGAGTGCAAGATTTGTGTTCTGTTAAGATAAGAGAGTTGTAGCATTTTCTTAGGCTCTTATATTGTTAAGACAGACAAGAATAAAAGTGCTGTCGGAAACTAATCAGAAAAAGTTTAGCTGAAATCCCCTCACATGCCTAGTCACCTGTACCTATTAACTTGTTCATTTGTGCCTCAATGCTGACTCTAATTTCTCTTTCTCTCACAGGATGGAGCTCACAGGAATCCAGCTCACTGCAAGAATTTGAGGATTGACAACACACCTGGAAAAGTGAGACAGTGCTTATGTTCACCATAATGGCACCTGTAGGTGTGGCTAAGCTTCGGGCTCGGCTCTTCCTGCTGTTTCTTTGCTTGACACTACGTGCTGGCATGCTTCAGTTTGCCTCAGCCACGATACAAGGGTACATTGGAGACAGGGACATGATATGCCCATCCGTATGCAGGTGCGATGAGGACTTTATCTACTGTAATGACCGTGGTCTGAGCTCCATCCCATCACTTCCTCCTTCGGCGTCCGTCCTCTACCTTCAGAACAACCAGATAAACAACCCGGGTTTGCCCACGTCCTTGGAGCGCCAGCTTGCCATCCGTGTGGTCTACTTGTATGATAATGAACTGGACGAATTCCCTGTGCACCTGCCACCATCCATCCGTGAACTGCATTTGCAGGACAACAACATACGCACTATTCCTCGTAGTGCACTGGCTAGGATGCCCTTGCTAGAGAAGCTCCACCTGGATGACAATTCAATTTCCACTGTTAGCATCGAGGACCAGGCCTTCGCTGACAACCCACGGTTGCGCCTACTTTTCCTTTCACGCAACCACCTGTCCAGTATCCCTTCAGGACTGCCTGCCTCCCTGGAAGAACTCCGTCTAGATGACAACCGGATCTCCACAATCCCTACCCACGCCTTCAGAGGGCTTTCCTCACTTAGGTGTCTCGTCCTGGACGGAAACCTTTTGGCAAACCAGCGCATTGCCGATGACACATTCTCCCGCCTTGCCAACTTGACCGAGTTGTCCCTAGTCCGTAACTCCCTCCAGACCCCACCGGTCAACCTGCCCAGCGCCCATCTGCAGCGCCTGTCTCTACAGGAAAATGCCCTGACTCATATGCCACGTGGTTCCTTGGATGGTATGCACAGGCTGCTTAGATTGGACCTGTCAGGAAACAATCTGACAACCCTACCGAGGGGACTGTTCAAAGACCTAGATAGCCTGGGCCAGTTGCTGGTGCGAGGCAATCCCTGGCACTGTGGCTGCAACCTGCGTTGGCTGTATGACTGGCTGCATGCCCGCGGTAACACCATCACTGTCAGAGGCCTCAACTGCCATGGACCTGACAGGGTGCGAGACATGGCTTTGAAAGACCTGGCCAGCGAGATGGAGGAGTGTGAGTTGGTGAGGACTGCGGGGACCAGAGACAGAGTGGGCGGAGGTGGAGTCGATACCTCTACCACTCACACCCCTCCACAGGGCTCTCTCTTCACCCTTCGATCAAAGCGACCTGGCCTCGGGCTTCCTGACTCTGGCTTAGACTACACTCTCAGCAGCAGCGGAGTGGGGAAGAGCCTGGCCCTCAATGTGAAGCCTCTCTCGCACAACAGTGTCCGTGTTACCTGGAGCGTGGCCCAACCCAGCTCGTCCTTTAGGCTGAGCTGGCTCCGACTGGGAACTGGGAACGCAATGGGATCAATTACAGAGACTCTGGTCCGGGGGGACCGTCGTGAGTACCTGCTTACCTCCCTCCAACCACGCTCCAGTTACATTATTTGCATGGTGCCCCTGGCTGCAAGTTCTGAAAGCAAGGGAGCAATTTCTGGAGATGCTGACCCCGATGAAGCTCTTGTGTGTGCAAAAGCTGAAACGTCTGACCCCACCCCTTTGGAGGAGGATGAGAATGAAGACTCAAAGCAGATGACAGTTCTGCCCTTGGCAGGGATTGTTGGTGGGGCTACCGCCATTGTGTCCTTGGCTCTTATTTTTGGCATCTTCTGCTGGTATGGACATAGGACTGGGCATTTGTGCACCCGTGACCACTACACTCGCAAACACTCGCGAAAAAAGAAGAGCTGTGATGACTATATTGAGTCAGGCACCAAGAAGGACAATACCATTTTGGAGATCCGCAGTCCAGGGTTCCAGATGACGCCACTGGCAGCCGGCCAGCCAATGCAGCCTAAACCCCTACGAGAGGATTACATCATTCATACCATATACCCCTCTAATGGCACTGGCCTGTACAAAGGAGACAACCATGTTTCTGATGCAGGTCATGGCACCAACCGCGGTTATAGAGAAGGAGGAATCCCAGATATAGACTACTGTTACACATGATGTACTATATATCCAGTTCAGTGTTATTGGTAAACTGTATGGATGCACAATTTCCGTTAGCATGGACACTTATGAAGCACCCCTCTGTGCCTTCTTCTACTGGTATCTCATTCCAAAATATCTGCTGTTCACTGCACTGAGAGTACTGTATGTGATTAACTGGAACTGAAACCTTGTGGGAACAGATCACTGCAGGAAGCAGCAGCCAGAGTCCCAGGTGTGAATGCACAGCTGACTGTTTCCTTACCATCTTAGTAAAGGCCTGTGTATGCTTTCTTTTCTGCTCTTTCCATGTGACATGTAAGCAAAGAATGTATACACTGTGGAAAGGTCAAACTTATAAGCATATGTGCAGGTAGGGTTCCTCTCACACACAGGCGCCACAGCAGGCAATTCAAAATGGATTAGGAAATGATGACCTAACATTTTTGGTAGTATTTTCCTGCTCACTGGTCATACACAGTATGTAGTCGTATAAAGTAATTTTTCAAAATGCCTCAACTATATTGATGTGCCCTACCAGCTATCCAAGGAAAGGGCTTTGTAAAGCTGTGAATTGTTCTATTTCAAACAACCCAATAACCACTTGTCTTAAAGTAGGCTTGTTATTACCTTATTCAGTAGTTGGCAGAGTGAAGATCTTATCATGGCTGGTCAGCCTTGGTTATACCTCTCCAGATCATTCACCTAAGATCAGTATTTTAGTGTTGCGTCAGATGAGGTGCAGCACAAGCGTGTAGATAATTCACTGAGGTACTGACTGGGCTGTGTTTGGAAAATGCTTTGCTATTTTTATCCGTGGTTTGTTAAGTAATCAAAACCTGCACAGCTCTCTTTATTTATTTTGTCCCGTATGTGATACTTTTTGTCTTTACTAAAATTGCTTTTAATTTTTGCACTCATGTAACTGATGAAACCCAGCTTTGAAGATAGTGGATTTAAATCAACAAAATAAGAGATGTGAAGAAAATAACATGAAGGCCAATTGCAGGTTAATGTTTAATGAAATGCAGCATAGTTAATTCTTGATTCAGAATGTTTATAAAATGTAATTTGAAAATTAGACCCCAAAAGACAAGCATGTAAGTCACCTGAGACTGTAGAGACCAGCCTGTATCCCTCTTTTCCCATGTTGTGCCTGTGTGCTTAACCTGTGACTTCAGTTGATAACTTTTGGTTACAAAATGTTTCCTCCACACACCTAAAGCGACAACAGCATGCACAGAGAATCCAGTCTGGACAAATGTGGATCCTCCTGTGCGAAACAGACTCTTGTGAGTGAACCCTGAAATGATGGCGAGAATTGTGAGTGAAACTGAGGAGACTCAAACCGCAACACTGTTGACCTGCACTGTGGAGCGGTGGCCAAGCTGAGAGTGGGTGGATGGACTATCGGGGGACTCTTGAAGGCGGGGTGGCTCCTCCGTGGATGAGTTCATTGATGTTTGTTTTAGCAATGGTAAAAGGCCTCCACTCATCCCACCTCTTTTATTACTGAGCAGCACTACAAATGTAAATGTATTAGCACTTAGCAGGGATAAATGTTATGACAGGCGCGGTGAGACGGAGGCTAAAGAAACTTTTAAAGATGGAGAATTGATGGCTCTGGCGCAGTGGAGTTCACCCATGCATAAATCTGTTTGTCATACTCAGCTTCTCCCCCTTGGGTTTAATATTGTCCATCAGTTGTTTACCACTGTGTTGCTTCCAAAGGGGAAACCAATTGTGCTTCCTCGACTGTTGTGTCCGCCGGAGTTTTACCATGGTGTCAGGCAACCTGTCAGTGGAATGTATATTTTTCCTTGCATCCGAAATCACTGGCTACAACATCTTACTGGCCCGGCTAATTATTTTTTTTCTTGGGGAATGTTGATATAGTGTAATTGCTATTTTACAGTGGATCTACATGTACTTCCTCATCATTTGTATAAAATAAAACAATGGCCACAGCCACATCAATATTTTTTTCTGGTGAAATTATAGAAAGTAATGGTGCCATAACTTTGCGTAAAAAAAATATGAAATGTGAACCTGAGATCTGTGTGGAATTTGCTTTATAAATTCATCTTCAGAGGGGATCAATAAAAAGTTTTATAATCTTGTTATTACTGCAACCTTTCATTTCATCTCATGCCTGAGGAAGCTGAATATTTTATCACTCACAGAGGTATTGATGGGCGATAAAAATTCATTCAGCTTTCACCCAAAAATTAACCTTACTTTTTGTTTTACTTTGATGAGTATTTGGAGTAGCTCTGGGATAAAGCATTGCCAGCTACCTGAGGCCAGACACTTGGAACCAGCGGAGTTTAAAACTGAAGCTAAGAAGAGTCATAGGCTGCTGCTCTCAGTGACTTGACGTTTACATGCAGCCTGGAACTCCATAAGGATGAACGAGCTCAACTCTGAATAAACAACTTCATCAAGGCAGATGAAATCGAGTAATCAGCCTCTCCTGGGTTGGAACTTCAGACTTGTTTAAGGACTGTGCCTGTGTTTCAGCAGGATACCCTCCTGTTACCTCTTAATTTCATCAACCTATGACAGAGCTGCTAATTTAGTGAAAGAAAAAGTTGTTTCATTTGCTAAACAAAGTTAGGACCAACCAGTTAATTAAAGATGGAGTAATGTGGTTTGGTATGAAGTGGGCTTTGTTACATTTTTAACCAGGAGAGAACATTCGCAAAGTGAAGCCAGTGGCCAGCAAAAACATTCATCAGGTTTTAAATTACTCTATTACCAGTATACAAACACATTTCTCACATTTGTTTTTGCAAATTGCAATTTTTCATTGTAAATTGGAATGAGACGTGTCCAAAAAGATAGATTCACTCTTTAATTTGGAGTGAAATTGGGTCTGTCACATAATACTTTTGGCTGTTGTGCTTGGAAGAAAAAAAGTTAAACATTTGTCTATTGCGTGATTGCAAGCTGTAGACACAGAAACAGCACCTCACATTATTTCCTTGTGAACAATAAACATTGATTGAGAATGACAAAATTCTGATCCCATTGGCAGCTCAACAATCACTCAAGCTGCATTCACATGGCAAGCGGTAAACCGAGAGAGCGGTGCCTCCCGACTAGGCGGAAGAGCAACACCTCTGCATCACGCAACGCACTAAGTTGTTGTTAGCAACCAATCCGCTGTGTGAAGCATAGCTAGCCAGCTATCAGGGGACATAACTGCAAGGCCCCAGGCTCAACCCTTACAAAAATCGCATATCATGAATGCAGCAATGCTTGGCTTTCTCCTGAATAGTTAAATTACCGGGTGTTAGGACTGAAAGAGAACCACCAATTCTGAACTTAAAGGTCCCCTATCATACTGTTTTACATCAATATATTATAGGTCTCAGATATATACAAACATGTCTCTGAAGTGTTTGGCTCGAAATACCAAACAGATCATTGCAGCATCCCATAATCCCCTCTGTTTCAGCCCTGTTTCAAAAGTGCTGATTCTCAGTCTATATTTGATAGATATATAGATATTTGGTTAGAAAGAACACAATGGTGCTCTTGGAGGAGATTCAGGTGATAAGGGGGGGGGGTTAGGGTTAGTTATTGGCTAATGGTTACACAAGCCACAAAATCGTTGATGACATCATAGAGTGGCCAAAATTTGATCAGCTCATTTTCAGACAGGTTTTTATATAAATGGATCAGGACAAAAAGAGAGCGAATCTTTTTTCCTGAAACTTTCAGAATCTCTTTACACACACATAATTATGTATAAAATACATGAAAAAGTGGATTTTGCATAATAGGTGACCTTTCAGTAACACATTTTGAAACATCCATTGTTTTATTTTGTTTAATCTTCCTTCTTAAATGCAACTTGAATTTATCCATTGCTTAAGAGCTGCAATGTGCTGCAATTTGTGTTACTATCTACGCCCATGGGATGGTGGTAGGTCTGTGGGAGATTTAATGAGTATCAGCACGGATCAACAATGTAACATGCTGTTGTGAAGCATTGCGAACAGTTTGTAAAGGCAGCTCAATTCCCCGTGCAGAGCAACAGAAGACTATTGGATTACCACCTCCCCCCTGATCTGAATCCTAAATGCAACTGCTCTAAGATATTCTTTTATTTTCCTTTATTACCAATATGGATGGTGTGGAAAATAACTTTTTCTTTCTCTAAGTTTATTTAACAGTATATTGATTTCACTACTGCTGACATTCTTTTTTTACTTACAGAGTTTTTTGGGGTCATCTCTCCAAAAAATGTAAACCAGCCATATGCCTCCAAATTATGATCAAGGGATCATCATTCAGCACGCCTGTGAAAGAATGTATTTGGATGGTAAGAACATTCGGTGCATCTGGAGTCTACCTCTATTATTGTTTTTCTTTTATCCTGTTATTTATAACTGTAAATTATGATTTTGTAATACATTTGTGGAGTACTATTACTTTAAAGTTAGCGAAACTTGAAGAAGATATTCCTACTTTATAGTGAGATAAACTTGTGAGTCAAATAATTTGAGATTGACTTATGTAGAGCCACATCCCCTTGGAGATGAAGATGCTTCCATCAGAAATCAGTTGTCTTACAGCCAATGATAAGTGTGGGCCGGCCCTAGACTTATGGAAGGCCTAAGCGGCCCCTCCCCCCCCCCCCCCGCGCGCGCGTTCTCACTACACACAACACGGAACCAACTTTTGTCTTATGATGTTAGCATAAGTACACATATTGTATAAATAACCATGTAAACACCGTGGACCTAACCTCCTCTAGGGGGGTCCGGGGGCATGCTCCCCGGGAAGATTTTCTTTTTAAACATTGAAGTTAAAAGTATCAATCTGGTGCACTTTGAGAGCAAAATGAAGAGATCTATGGATACATCTCTCAACACCCATATGAAACAGAACTGTAAACAGATTTTTCTTTATGGATATTTTACAAATCACTCCCCTTTTAAACTGTATTCTTGTTTTGTCATATAGTATTTCATAACTGTTTTTCATGTATTCTCTCTGGCTGTCCATCTCATAATGTTCACATAGCAGTCAACAGGAATATCATTCAGAAGAATTATAATTTCTTGCAAAAATTTGTCACAAAAAGAGGTTGCACATTTAAATTCAGGTGATGTTATGGCAACATCAGTGGCCAAACAGCCACATTTACTGCTGCAAATACGTTCAAACATGCTGTTGACACGTGCTCAGGCATGAAAACGGGTCAGGGGTGAAAAAGGTGAGAAGGATATTATCCCTCTAGGGGGGTCCGGGGGCATGCTCCCCCGGAAGAACATTTTGAATATTCCATATTTTAAAGCATCAATCTGATGCATTTTGAGATGCATTTTTTTGCCAACCTGGGGAGAGTTGGAGAAACTTAACTTCAGCCATGAGTCAAAAATATTATGGCCTCCTTACTAAGTATTATCAGGGATGCAAACTCATCAGGTATGGAAAAGGTGACAAGGACCCGAGCCCCCCGACCCCACGGAATATCGGCTTTAAAATGAGGAATAACAGAGGATTTTAGCAGTCAGAACAACTAAAGCAGCAGTGTTAATAATAACAGAAACGCTAAAGAGTCACATCTAATAGAAATATATAAAAGCATTTATTTTAATTGTGTAGCAGTCAGTTTATAATTTTGGCAGCACTGTTGAGCATTTTGAAAATCTATTGTCATGCCTCTGTGCAAGGCTTAGTCTTTCTATCTTTATGGCATCTGGTGTAAAGTAACAAAATTCATAAACTCAAGTACTATACTTGGGTACAATTTTGAGATACTTGTACTTTATTTAAGTATTTCAATGTTTTGCTACTTTGTTCTTCTTCTCCTCTACAGTTCAGAGGTAAATGGTGTACTTTGACTCCACTACATGTATTAATACCTTTACAGGGCTCGACATTAAGGACTGCCCGATGGCCCGGGGCCATCTAGTATTTAGCTCGGGCAATGAAGCCTCACCTGCTGGTTGCCCGATCGGGCAATCTATTATGCCAGTATCATGCAGCTCGCGGATCCAGTAATGAGAGACCCGACAGTAAAACTAAACTTATCTATAACTAGTTTAGGTAGTTTGAGAGGTAATTAAAATAGCTACGTGTGATATTCTAAACTAAAGTGTGTGTTTTGTCCGCTCACCGCTGCATATGATCATGCAGAGCTGCGTGTCGACTCGTCAGCAGCAGCTGATCTCTCTCTCCCGTCAGATTAGACTTCACTCGCGTTTATGTCCATATCGATCAGTACCAGCTAGTTCTAGCTAATGATATGACTACCTGCTTATTAAAAGACACCTAAACAATAAGTGTCGCTATGCAACCGGATGAGGCCACAAAGTATAGCGCAGCATTATGCATTTGTTTACATGCCCACCGGAACCCTGAGGCATTACCAACAGATCAACGCACAATCAACCCATACAGGACATCTCTTTCTCCACATTAAGTGTTAGACATTAGAATTGACTATTCTTGTCTGTCACATACTCTTCTTGTCTGTCACATAAGTGGCGCAACTGAAGCGGTATTGCGCTAAAGGGAAATTATTTTGACCGAAGATATTTAGATTTGCCGGCTAACGGGAACTCTGACGTCGCCATTTTGTGTGCTTCGCGGATGCGCTCGGCTCCTCTCGACTGCTGCTCGGGTCTGCTCGGTCAGCTTCCGGATGAGGAGGCATTCGTTCGACCAATTTAGATAACATTACAAACATTTTTAACAGGGGCCATAATAGTGTAAATAATGTTTGTTTTGGCAGTTATAACTGAATGTAATGTTTTCTACTTTTTTTACATCTGGGAAGGCATTTGCCTTCATCAGATGGAAAGTGTCTTGACCAACAACTTAAGTATTTCTTAAAGCTATGCAGGGCATGCAAGCGAGCAAACACAAACAAGAACAAACAAACAAGTGAAATTAAAAATAAAATTGAAATTGTACAATATAATATTGTGGTGGTTCATCTTATAATTCAGTCTAGAGAATGCACCAGACAGCATCTAAGACCTGCAACAATCTAAATGTTCTAGGGGGAGGCCCCCCAAACCCTTCGTGCGTCATTTTGTCCGCGCGCATTTTTCAGGGCAATCTCTATTGGGCTCTAAGTAAAGCTGATGATGGATTACTGTGG